GAAAAGGGGATTATTTATATGTAGGGTTACATGAGGGAATTGGGTAGAGGAAGAGCCCTTAGGGTTATGAATAATTTTATAATTATTTCTGTTTGGAGAATTAATTGTCTTATGTGATTCTATATATATTTAGGACTACAAATATATGTTTAATTTGTAAAAATGATGCTCTGGGAGAGAGAACGAAATTATAGAAAAGTGCCTGTAAGTTAGGTTGTGAAAATTGGATGATTTCTGTTTAAGGAATTGAGGATCTCATTAGATTTTGTATGTGTTGAGGATTATAAATATGCTAATAATTTGTAAGAATGATGATCTGGGAAAGAGAACGAAATTGTAGAAAAGTGCCTGTGAGCTAGGTTTTGAGACAATTGGGGATTTTACTATTTAGGTTAAAATTATATTAAATTGATAATCCTAATGCGATTTCTCTCCTTTCCTTAAGTTTATTACTCTTATCCCTTCTCCTTTTATGACTCAACAATTATTTTATTTTTTTTACTATAAATTTTTCTTTTTATTTTTATATCGTGAAATTATGACTTTTTTATGTTTTAAAAAAAGAAAATTAACATAATACATTGCAATATCTAATTTTTTAGGGTTTAGGATTTATGCCTTCATTAGCTTATTTTTTAAAAGAAAAAATATTGTTAAAATATTTGTTATAATAATTTACATTTATAAATATCATTAAAAATTATCATATAATATATAACTAAAATAAAATATTTATAATAATAATTATTATTATACTAATATTATATATATTACATATGTAATAAGGTAAATAATTTTTTTGTGGATTATGAATTTCCTAATTAACGCTAATTTTTAGCTTCATTTCGAGGTGTAAGAATTTGCAAGTCAGGGTAATGACCCTGAAAATGAGAAAGAATTGTTCAATCTTCGTCATGCGTCTTTAAAGAATGTGATCGAGAAAATATTTTGTATTTTTAAATCAAGGTTCACAATTTTTAAGTCAGCACTTCCATTTTTATTTAAGACACAAGTAGAACTTGTGTTAGTATGTGCAGTAGCACTATATAACTTTCTACATAAAGAATATCTTTCCGATGAATTTTCAATTGAAGCCGTGGATGAACCTTCATCTTCAACGTTACCAGTTAATGAAGATCATACTTTTGAACATATTATTCAAACCCAGGAGCAAGAACGAAAAAACGCTAATGCTTGGAAGACTAGTATAGCTACAAATATGTGAGTGAATGTTATTTAAGAGGATAAGATATTATGGAGAATTATTATTATTATTATTATTTATCTGGACATTATTATTTTTTATTATTTTTTTCTTTGACTCTTTTTAAATTTGAATGTATGAATTTTTTTTAAAATTTTATCAAATGTCAAAAATCTACGAAAATTCTACAAAATCCACAAAATTCCACAGAATCCATTAAAATCCTGATTTAAAAGTCTTGCAAAATCCATTAAAATCTTGATTTTAAGTCTTGTAAATCCTGCAAAATCTTAAAAGTCATGAAAATCCTACAAAATCTTTTAAAATCCGCATGATTTTTTTTAGTTAAAAAAGTCCTTTAAAATCCTAATCCAATACACTCCCCTTATGTTGTGCCTCTAATTTATAAAATTTGTATTTGTATTAGATAGTTCTGGAAAAAACACAAGGAATCTTAGCAAAAATTTTGGAGACCAGCCAACTCTTCAACGATGAGCAGAAAATTTGATGAGAAGCTTGCCCAACTAAAAAAGGCTGAACAAAGATTTTTCAAGAACAGAATTTCAAGTCCCAAGATCCAAAGGGTACCTCTTTTGTTGCGACGTAATGACAGGTTTGTGAAGTATTGTATACCAAAGATGATATTATTTTGTCCCATCCATCATGGTAGAGGAATTCTAAAGGGAGGAGAGCATTATAAACTTCTATAGACATCAAAGTTTGTTGCAAAATACAATGAAAATCGAGATTCGGATGAAGTGACACAAGTTTTGCTTAAAAGAATAGAAGGTAACATGGAAGAATTGAAGAAAGAGTTTGCTGATGACGTGATATTGGAAGGGAAGAATGATGACAATGACCTTGCTTGGATGTTGTTTGTGGATGGTTGTTCTTTGCTTCATTTCATGGAAAATCTTGATATACAGTGTCCAGAAGCACTAAACCTTATGCTTCACCATCTATTGCAAATTCGCACAGAGGCAATTTTGTTGGAAAACCAACTTCCAAGGAGATTACTTGAGATGCTAAGCAGAAAGAAAAGTCCCACGTTGGAATTTTTATTTTTCAATGTTTTTGACTGGGGTGCACAAAAACTTCGTGGCTCAAGAAATGTCATTGTCCAAAATCCTAAACCAATTCATTTACTCGATTATAATCGCTCAATATACCTAAACCAGCAAGATGACGGTGATAAAGACAACAATTTTCAAATAGACCCAAATGCTGGCAAGTGGTATACTTGTAAGAACGTACGAGATCTAAAAAGAGCAGGGATTCGGATGATACCAAATTTGTCAGCAGAAAATCCATTTGCTTGGAATGGAATTCATTTCAAATCTAAGTGGTTTAGTGGGGAATTGAGACTTCCAATATTTCATTTCCATGATAACGAGGCCTATTTTTTTCGGAACCTTATAGCGTATGAGATGTGTCCAGATACTCGTAGCAAATATGAATTTTGCTCGTTCATTTCATTCATGGATTCATTGATTGACAATGCTGAAGATGTAAAGGAGCTGAGATTAAGTGGTATATTTTCAAACTTGCTCAGAAGCGACGAAGACTTGGCCAATCTCTTCAGTGAATTGGGTGTTGATCTGCCAACTAATAATTTTTCTTACTGGTGCCTCTGTAATGCTGTGGCCTTAAGCAAGAAACATATTGCTGTTAAGCAGCAAATTGAAAAGCATTACACAACTAAGTGGAAGACATGGTTGGCTAAAGCTTACAATACTCATTTCAGTACCCCATGGACTATAATTGCCTTTTTTGCTGCATTACTAATTGTAATTCTTACTTTTATCCAAACCTTTTTCACCATAGATCCCAGATGATTCATGAAGCATCTCGTGTATTAGTTTGGAGTGAGCTGTAATTTTTCAGAAACATAATGCGTTTATATGTCCTTTATGATGAATTGTTGATTGGTCCATATAATTTTGTTCTCGTCGTCTGTAGATACTATATGCATTGGAAAAAGTGGACTCTGTAAATTTCAGAAGATAGGTTTAAGACGATAAACAACAACTATGTAAATTTGGTCAACTAAAAAATGGTTACAGATATACTATATTTTTATTACATTATACATTTAATATATTAAACCTTAAATTAAAAAATAGCATGTTTTATTATATTAAAGAAATAATAATAATAATAATAATAATAACAAATCTAAAATAGATATATTAAATTTTTATTTAATTTATTTTTTGCTGTCATATTTATCAGTTCTCACCTTCCAGAATAGAAAAGGAATAATATTTAAACCTCTAAGTCATATGATATGATAGAAATAGAGGGTGCTACACTTAATATGCATAAATAGTTTATTGAGTGATGTTTTTGCTTGTTTTTCTAAATAATTTGTTACAGGTTAACAAATATCTAGAGAACTACCAGAGAGCCCTTAGTGGATTTGAGGCTGTTGCTTTAAAGGATCCAGGTCTCTGTTAGGTCTCTTATTTATTTTCTTTAACAATACATAAAAATTTATATAAGTTTTAATTACGTAAAAATAAATGCTTATAGTATAATACACCTTCTAAAATACCACTAAAAATTTAATGTTGGTTAAAATATTTTTTTTAATCTCCATAATTTCACTTATTTTATTTTTGTCTTTTATAGTTTAAAATAGATATTTTTAGTTCTTATATATATTTCTTTAATTCTTTTTATTCTCTATAATTTAAGATAAATCTTTTTATTCTTTATATTTGTAATTTTTAATCTTTTTAGTCCCTATCATTAACTTTTTTTATAATGTTGTGTGTTTTGTATTAATGTGATAGAGGTATTTAGTTTTGTGTGAATAAAAAAAAATCTTAACAATAAGCGTTGCAAGTGAGGTATCAAACACAAAGTCTAGATAAATCTAATTTAAAATAATTTTAACAAAATAAATTCATCACACTCAAAATTAATACATTTGTCATGTCAATATAAAAGAAAAATAATTTTACAAAAAAAAATTAACAATAAATAATAAAGGAATTAAAAATTACAATTGTAAAGACAAAAAAAATTATCTTAAATTAATTTTTTTTTAAAATTATTTTAAACTATATGAAATAAAAGGTAAGAAAAAAAAGAAGTGAAATTAGGGATTAAAAAGTATTTTACGCATTAATCCGTTATAACTTATTAGAAGAGTTGATCTACACTTAAGCAAGGACAGAAGTTCGAATCACTGTTATCGACAATCGATATTCCAGGAACGAATTAAAAAATATATATATATATATAATGATCAACTAAAAAATGGAACTTAAAGAGTGATTATCAAATATATATATATTCATTTTATAATAGGTATAGATAAGATAGACGCAATGTTAATTGTCAAAAGTAAACTGCTTATAGTCAAGGAATGTGGAAAACTAAGAAGAGGAGCAGAGAGAGTGTTGAGTGCGAGACAGAGAAGCACGCTTATGGAAGGAATCCAACACAAGTTTGTGAACGTGGGTGATCTGAAGCTCCACGTTGCAGATATCGGAAGTGGTGAGAATCGATAATCCTCTGTACCTTCCATGCTCGTATACTATTTGTTCTTTAATTACGTTGCTGTGTTTCAGGACGAAACGCCGTCGTATTCCTGCACGGCTTCCCTGAGATATGGTACTCGTGGCGGCACCAGATGATAGCCCTGGCCGATGTGGGATTCAGAGCCATCTCCTTCGATTACAGAGGCTACGGTCTTTCCGACGCGCCACCCCAACCCGATAAGACCACGTTCTCCGATCTTCTCAATGACCTCCTTGCCATTCTTGACGCTCTTGCTCTTCCCAAGGTACTCTTACTCTCTAACATTCATTTTCAACTCTTTTCACTTTTCTAATGCTGAATTTTCGTCTGCTGCATGTCTTTACTTTTCGTTAATTTTTATATTGTTTTTGGTATGTTTTTCTTATCTACCTCGTGGAATTTCAGATTTTGCACTTGTTTCTAGGATCAAACCAACTAATAAAAGATCGGGGTTGAGTGAATTGGGGAATTTTAGGATCAGCTCATACGGTTTAGACTGGAGTAAGCTCTCAACTTAGTGCTTGAATATAACAAGTGCTGTCATTTGGGCTCTTAACGATTGAGTTAGACTCAAACTCTCAAACTTATATTTTAGAAGATGGTATTTGAGCTTATTCTAACTATTGTTGTTGGCTTATCTGTTATTGGACCATTTACAAATGTGTAGTTCTGTAACATTACGTTTGACATGTTTAGTCTTGAACATGAGGGGTATATTAGAAATCTCATATCAACTAAATAGAATATACAAGTGGGGACAACCCTCGTCTTATCAACCAATTTGGTATGGTTGAATTAGTTTCAAACCTACATTGTAAGATGTAAATTCAACCTAGCCCAATTTTATTTATTTATTTATTTTTTACTTGAGTTGGCTTGGTTGGATAAGGTATAGGCATGATGGGAAGCCTACATGTAATATGTGAATAATTATATGAGTACTCTGTTGCCTAACTGATTCCCCTCTTCAATGCACTTAGGTGTTTCTTGTTGGGAAAGATTTTGGAGCTCGTCCTGCATATCTGTTTTCCATTCTACACCCTGAAAGGGTCTTGGGAGTTGTCACATTGGGAGTTCCATATGTTCGGCCAGGCCCCTCTGTATATCACAAATTACTTCCTGAAGGCTTCTATATTTTGAGATGGCAGGTAATCTTAAAGAACAAAATTTAGATGCAGGTCCTTAGTTTTGATACTCTATTTATTAATGGTTAAAATTTCACCTTCGTAACTTAAAATGATCTTTACCGCAAATCTGTTATACAACTGATACTTTAATTTTGATTGAAGAGCAGCAATAAAAGCATTCGAAAAACTGCATTTTAGTTTTATATGATTTTAAATCATTTGCTCTCAGCTCCATGACCTTTAATATCATCATAACTTAGGTTCTGTCTTATATCAGGAACCTGGAAGGGCAGAAGCTGATTTTGGACGCTTAGATGCAAAGACTGTTGTGCGAAATATTTACATCCTCTTCTCTAGAAGTGAAATACCAATAGCTAATGAAAACCAGGAGATCATGGATTTGGTGGAACCTGATACTCCTCTTCCCTCTTGGTTCACAGAGGAAGATCTTGCAACATACGGAGCCTTGTATGAGAAATCTGGATTCCAAACTGCATTGCAGGTTCCATATAGGTGCATGCATTTTTTCTTCGTTGCCTTTTTCAGTGAAAAGCTATTTCTTACAACTAAACAATGAAAGCAGTGTCTCTTGAACTCTCAGATTTTCTGATCTGATGAATTCTTGTTAATGGTGGGTTGGTTTTGTTTGTATTTGTAGGTCATTAGGTGAAGTGTGTAACTTACCAGATCCTGTGGTTAAAGTTCCAGCATTTCTGATAATGGGTGGCAAGGATTATGTTCTGAAGTTTCCAGGGATTGAGGATTTAACAAAAGGTGAAAAGGCAAAAGAGCTTGTTCCCAATTTGGAGGTTACATTTATCCCTGAGGGAACTCATTTTGTTCAAGAACAGTTTCCCGAACAGGTGAATCAGCTTATTCTTGGCTTCCTTGCCAAGCACACTTGATATTGTACTTTGGCGTGGAAATAGTCATGAATGGTGTACGTGGATTGTGAAGAGTGGGAAATTTAGCCAAAGTGCAATACAAAATGTTTATTTCTGTGTAATATATATCATGTCAGTGTTACACATATGCAGAGTTATAATTCGGCAGCAACGGTGTCTCATGTATAATTTACATATGGCCGAAATTTTACTGAATTAAGGTGCAACTGCAAAAACATCAAAAGTAGTAATATATCATATTAATATGCCATAAAAAACTGATAGGACTCTACCCCTGCAATGAAGTACCCAATGAAAAATAATATATAGTGAATAAACACTCAATTTGGTCCTTAAGTAATGGTAGAGGTAGGGGTGACAAAATAAGTCATGGCGCATGGTTGGTATGTTGGCCTGCCAAAAGATAGCGGGTTAGGCCAAGAATCATAGCTCGCGAGGCCCACCTAATTCTTTGGCTTGTCTAATTTTTTTTCCTTATTTTATTTATTTACTTATTTTTATGTTAAGTTTACATAGCTCCCTACCCCTTCAACAAATAGAACGTGAAAGATTAACTAAAGTTAGAAATAGAAAGTGACAAATAGAATGCTCACCCACGGCTAGGGTTCCTAAAATGGTAAAACATCACGAGTTTGAGCAGTAATAGCGAGCCTCCTTGTGAAATCTCACGGCCATGGTGATTTCACTCTCAGTTCACAACAACAGCGATGGAACAATTGTTTGAGTGAGAGTGGAGAAGGAGCAAAAAGGAGCGCAAGAGCGCTAGTGGTCACTCCCTTCATGTGACACCTTCTTACTAGTGCATCGATCACTTATGGCTGACTGAGGCAAGACATGCCTTCCCTTTTCAAATTATTTAGAGGAAAACTTGGTTTTTGGTTGTCTAATACTCTGATTGAAGATTAGAACTAGGGCTACTCCACAAATTTGACTTTGCTAACTTGTTAAGTGCCCTTTTAATAAAATTGGTTTTTTTTTTCTAATTTTTTTAATGTGGGCCAACGAGGTGGGTCAAGGTTTCAAGCTTGTTTTTGTTTGGTGGCCCAACCCATTTTTGGTAGGTTGATGGTGAGTCGGACCTAAACGGGTTGGTTGGCCAGTTTTGTTATCCTATGTAGAGGTGGTCGATGACGATAGGTTCCTAAAAGATTTTTCTTAGCACTTGGGTCCTTAAATTTTAACTTGGTTATGCAAGTTATTTTTTCGTTATACTTAGTTACTAATTTTATTAATTTTTTGAAAATCAACACTTAAGTGTTAGGTTGACACTTATTCTCTCTCTCAATTGACTGTTCTCTCTCATAATCATTTAATATGAACTATAATGTAAAGTTTTGATACTTTCCAATCAACAATGGATACTTTGTCATGTTTAAATATTCTAGTCATAGATGCTCTAATTAAAATGGAAGATTATTGAGTTTCGTAGGGTTTTTTGTGGTTGAACTTTTTTGTCTCAGTTATCCTTAATTTCTTCATCTATTATGGTTGTAAGTTTAAGATTATAAATCCTAAATTATTGAATTTAGGGTTTAGCAAAATGAGTGATTTTTTGAAAGACCTCAAGTAAGGATGTGTTAATCAAATATGTGTGTTTTTACTATGTTTAATGAATCCCAAAATTCCTTTAGTAGAAGTGAGGAAGAGTTTAGTGGTTATGAGAGTGGATTGGAAGAAATAAGTTATTCAAATATCACTTCAAATATTTTTTAATTAAATCTTATTATGTCACATGTCTAAATCTACTTAGTTTTGAAGCTGTTGCATACCAATTGGGAGAAAATGTGTTAATGAGACAGTTAACTATTAACTGATCATGAGACTAACAAAATTTATAATTGAGTATAAAGAAATAACTAATTTGTATAATATAGTTAAAGTTTAGAGACTTAGGGGGGTGTATTGGATTAGGATTTTAAAGGACTTCAAACCCAGGAGCAAGAACGAAAAAACGCTAATGCTTGGAAGACTAGTATAGCTACAAATATGTGAGTGAATGTTATTTAAGAGGATAAGATATTATGGAGAATTATTATTATTATTATTATTTATCTGGACATTATTATTTTTTATTATTTTTTTCTTTGACTCTTTTTAAATTTGAATGTATGAATTTTTTTT